TGGTGGTGGTGATGGTGATGGTGATGGTGGTGGTGATGGTGATGGTGATGGTGATGGTGGTGGTGGTGGTGATGTTGATAATGATGTTAAATGATAATGGTAATATAATGTTAATTAGGGTAGTTACGGTGATAATTATGATGACACTAGTGATGATGGTGATGATGGTGGCCATAGTTCTTCATAAGCATCATCTCACTTCACCCAACAAAAACCATTAAAGTCACTATATGAGAGCTGGCAAGAGGATTCAGAGAGTAAAGATGCTTGCCACCAAGCCTGACAACCATATGTTCATCTTCAGGACCCAAATCGTGTAAGGATAAACTCAGTCTCAAAAGTTGTTCTCTGACCTCCACATAAAGGCCACCATATGTACATGCGCACAAACGTGCACACACACACACACCACAAATGTAATAAGTAAATGTATAACTTTTAACGTGTATAATTTATATGTATGCATTTTTTTATTTTTGTCATCCTTTAGTATTTTCAGGAGGTCTTCCCCAGAACCCCCTCAGATACCTAGATCCAAAAACGTTTAAGTTCCCTTGATAGAGGGGATCAGTGTTTATATGTGACCTGTGCACATCCTTCTGAATATGTTATCTCAGGACAAGTGAGTGCCTAACTCAATGTAAATGCTGTGGCGACAAATGTTCACCTGGTGTCTAGGATGTGATGGCAGGAGCAGAGTCTGTCCACGTTCAGGAGAGATGAACTTCTTCTGAATGATTCTACTTGCACTTTGGATAGAACCATGGATGTCGAAGCTATGGATGAGAATGGCCAACTGTCTTAACCTATTCACCCTAAAGAAAGAGACTGAAGCACAGAACAATTCAGTCACTTGTCAGTGAACATGGACAGCATGGGACTGGACCAGGACTCCAGCCAAGCTGACACTAACATCCCTGCTACTCCCTAGCATGTCCCATGGCTCTGCTGTCATTCCTTGCAGGTAAATTCACCTGCATTGAGGCCCGATTCCACCTGGAACGGCAGATGGGCTACTACCTGATCCAGATGTACATCCCCAGCTTGCTCATCGTCATCCTGTCCTGGATCTCCTTCTGGATCAACATGGATGCTGCACCAGCTCGTGTGGGGCTGGGCATCACCACAGTGCTCACTATGACCACACAGAGCTCTGGCTCCCGGGCCTCCCTACCCAAGGTGAGTGGCACCATTGAGAAATACTGTACCCCAGAATGGAGAAGACTCCATCACCTCCCATCCCTACCTGGGACATGGGGTATACAGTGTGTTTCACCATACATATACATACTGCATATGATATTGTTTATAGAAGTTGCCATCTGGACCACAATTTCTAGGTTCTTTGCATCTTATTCAAAGAATTGGAAGTGAAGAGAAGGTGTACACAGTTTGCAAAGTAGCAAGAAAACTTTATTCATACACTGCTTCTAGTCAGGGCCACACATTACCTCTGTTCTAATACAGGGACGCTGAAAAAAACATCTAACACATACTCCAAGATTGTCAACTAGATTCTCCAATTATTAGTGCTTTGCCATGTTTGTTTTGTTTATCTATATGCAGAGATAAATAAATAGATACATAGACACATAGGTAGACATATAGCATAGCTAGATAATATATGTGGATAAGACATATATGCTAGATCATACATACATACATACATACATATATACATACACACATACACTCCTAGTTAGCATTAACTGTCAACTTGATATAACTTAGAGTAACCTAATAGATTCTCAATTGAAGATTGCACAGATCAGATTGGCCTCTGGGTCTATGGAGGGATTGTCTTGTTTGTTAATGTAAGAGGGCCCAGCCCATTGTGGACAGCACCATCCCTATGTGGTTTGTCCTGGGCTATATAAGAAAGCTAGCTCAGCACAAGTGAGCAGAGAACAAGCTAGCAAACAGCATTCTTTTATGGTTTCTGCTTCAAGAACCTGAGTCCCTCCCCCTGATTTCCTCCAATAATGAAATATGACCTGGGAGTGTCAGCCAAATAAATCTTTTCCTCTCCTAGTTGCTTTTGGGCAGAACATTTGTCCAAGCAACAAAAAAGGAATTAGAAAAGATAGAAAGATGGTAGATAGATAGATAGATGATAGATAGATAGATAGATAGATAGATAAATAGATAGACAGACTATAAGATAAGTAAACATTTGGAAGAACTTATACAAGAAAAATTATATAGAGGGATGATAGGTTATTGATAGATTAATAGATAGAAGATAGATGACTAATAAATAGATGACAGGCACAGAGTAGGTGGATAGTCAATATTCTGCCTCTTTTTGTCTCTTCTGAGGGTCTGGTCATCATATGTTGGCTTTGGTAGTTTCCCATGAGTCTCTGTGACTCCCCTCCTCTTCCGCCATTCTGCCCCTCATACTCATGATCTCAAGGCTGCTGATTCTTCTCCTCCTCGATCTCTGGTTCTTTCTTCTATCTCCTCGAATTCACTGTTGTCAGTGAAATTCTCATCTCAATTATTTGCTTTCAACTTTAGAGTTTTCATTTGGTTCCCTATTTACTTTCATCTTTTTACTAATGTATTCTGCTTGGTGAGAGAATGTTCTCAAATTTTCTCCTTGTTGTTTTCTTTTGTTTGAGACAGAGTCCGCTCTGTAGCTCAGGCTGTCCTTGAATGCATGGTGATTCTCCACTCACACTGTAGCTCAGGCTGGCCTTGAGTGCATGGTGTTCCTCCACCTGTACTGTAGCTCAGGCTGGCCTTGAGTGCATGGTGTTCCTCCACCTATACTGTAGCTCAGGCTGGCCTTGAGTGCATGGTGTTCCTCCACTCACACTGTAGCTCAGGCTGGCCTTGAATGCATGGTGCTCCTCAGCCACAGCCTTAATTCTGGGACTACAGGTCAATGCCACCATATAGAAACTGCCTATACACAGTTTCTTTCTTTCAGTTGCTTGAATACATTTAAGATAATTAATTTAACTTCTTTATCTACCCAGCATGGTAGTGGCACGCATGCCCTTAGGAGACAGAGACAGGAGGAGCAGGAGTTCAAAGTCAATCTCAGCTAAGGCAGCAAGTTCAAATGCCGTATATGATACCCTATTTAAAAAAAAATAAAATAAAATAAAATAAAATAATGGAGCTAGAGGGATGGCTAAGTATTAAGAGCACTCGCTGCTCTTGCAGAGGACCTAAGTTCAATTCCCAGCTCCCACAACACATGTCCTATGAGGCCAACCTTAGGGGATCCAATGCCTCTGATTCTTGTGCACATACCCATACATGGGCATAATGCATACAAGTACCTTAAAATAAAATAAGTCCCTGGTAAGTCTGATATCTGGTTTCCTTGGGTGCCACCTCTTTGACACACTTTTTTTTCCCTATAACTGGGTCGTATTTTTCTGGTGGAAGAGTTACTTTTTGGTTTAGAACTTTTTGGTTTTGAGGGTTTTTTAAATTTGTTTTTGTTTGTTTGTTTTGCACACCATATAAATTGCACACTTTACATAAGACAGGAGGGCAATGTTTGGAACTCAGACTCCACCCCCTGAGGACTTGTAGTTGTTGTCAGTGCTTGCTCTTAACTTTGTCTGAACTGATTCTGTGAACCCTGGATTCTCTGTAATGTCAACCACTCAAGTCTGGGCTCACTGAGCCTGGTGACCATATGAAACCAGACAGAGATATTTTATGGACTGTGCAGATCCCATAAGAGTCCCCTCATGTGTGTGTGTGTGTGTGTGTGTGTGTGTGTGTGTGTGTGTGTGTGTGTGTATCTTCAGTATCAGCCAGGCAGTTGACAGCTCCGCCTTTACTTCCTGCTGGGGGCTGGCCTAGCGGAGGCAGGTCTAGGAGTCCTGAGTTGCCCCTGGGCACTCACAGATTAGCCTGCTGTGACATCTCATGACATGGCTCACTTTTCTGAACTTTTCACTTAATCTCGAGAAGCCTTGAACCCAGACCCTTGAGCTTGCCAGGCGAGTGTCCCACTACTGAATTCTGTCCCCAGTGCCCTCTTGAGTTTTTTGATTAACCTGCTGTTTTGCCTCAGTGCCTCTGACAGCAATCGCCACTAATTGCTTTCGACAAATGTCCCCCAGATTTAAAAGATACAAATGAAAACAGTCCCCACTGGGCCCTCTCCAAATCAGGTAAAATAAAGGCAGCTTGTGGTAGAAAGGATCGCTAAGAGAACAGCTAGAGAGGGCAAAGGAAGAGGGCAGGACCTGGGAACAGGCTCGAGTTGTCTTGGACTCCTCCTCCCTCTCCAGTGGATGACTGAGGGCTGATTACTACTATGCTCTTGGAGCTGTGGATTTTCAAGGCTACTATGGTCTGGAGGGTTAGGATAGGAGCAGAGAAAATTAAAAGTATCAGAACCCCCAGAGGCAATGAAACCCATACACACAGCCACGCTACACAGTGGTTCACAGCATCATTCTGGTCCACCAAAAGGCAGAAATGATTGATACCATCCAATGAACAGACAGACACATGTATGTCTCCATACAATGGAATATTGTTAAGCCATAAAAATAAACTGCTGAAGCTAGAGAGACAGCCCACTATTTAAGAGCACTTCCTTCTCTTGCCAAGGATGGGCATTGGGTTCCCAGCATCCACTACAGGGCAGTGCACAGCCAGCTATAGGGGGAACTCCTGGTCTCAAAGGGCCATGCATACATGTATGTCTACACACACAAACACATGCACATATACATACATAAATATAAAATAAATCTTTAAATGTGAATAAGCTGCTGCTGTTGCACACAACAGTAAGATGAGTCTCAAAAATATTATAAGTGGGAGAAGATAATCAGGAAAGGACACACATTGTATTGTTATTCCTGAATGAAATTCCGGAATGTTCAGGACACAGATGCCACAGAAATGTGAAGTGGATTATTGGGTCTTCAGGGTTGGGGAAGTAGAAAAGTGATGCATAAAACACCCCAGCAGCTTTCAAGAGATGTGGTGCCACATGACTTTAACCCCAGCATGGGAGAGCCAGATGCAGGGTCTCTGAGCTTCAGGCCAGCCTAGTCTATATAGAAAGATCTTCTTAAGAAAGAAGTGTGTGTGTGTGTGTGTGTGTGTGTGTCTGCATGCACACATATTATGTGTCTGTGTGTCTGTGTTAGGTACATGTAAGCAATGGGGTATATATGGAGGTCAGAGAACCACTTAGGGGAGTTGGTTCTCTCCTTCCACCACATGGGTCCTGAGGTTTGAACTCATGTCGGCAGGCTTGCTGGCAAGCGCCCTTTCCCACTAAGTCATCTGAGTCATCTCTCAGCCATTCACTGCTTGTCTTGAATAAATTCTCACAGGACTGCTACGAGCCATTGGCAGTTAATCAACAGAGTTCCAGATAACAGACTGTTGCAATTTCTGCCAGTGTGCTCACTGGTTTTGTGAAAGGACAGCTTGCAAGGGCCCTGACAGAGCTGTTTGCTAACAGCCTTCTTTCACACTAATGCTCAGTCCAACATCCTCTCAGACTCCAATTCAGTGCTCCGCTACACTGAAGACGATGGAGAAGCGGCATCCCCCTCTCCTCGTTTCTCCTGTAAGCATCACATCTTCTCCCTGACATTCTGCTCTGTATCTAGTGTGCTTCTTCTGTCCTCCTCTGCTCCTTCCATCCAAATATCCCAGGAAGAGCAGTGGGCGTTGGGGAAAGTTACTGAAGAGCAGAACATGCACCATCCACGCTCAGTACAACAATATCCTCATGGGTCATATTCTAGGAATCCTCCACTCTGCTCTTCCTCTGGCAACTGTATAAAATGACAAATGGTATAAAACACTATATGTCATATACTTTTCCTATATATACCGTAATTTTGTAAACAAATGTGTTCTGCTGTGGGGCTGGACAGATTGCTCAGTGGTTGAGTGCTTGCTGCTCTTTCAGAGGACCCAAGTTCAGTTCCCAGCACCACTCTGGGCAGCTCACAACTATCTGTAACTCCAGCTCCAGAGGATCTGATGATCTCATCTGACCTCTATAGATACTACACTCACATATAAATACACACAAAAACATATAATTTAAGTATAAATCATTTTAAATTATTACTCTTAGGCTAGAGAGATAGCTCATTGGTTATGACCACTGGCAGCTTTTCTATAGGACACAGCTTTTCATTCCCAACACCCACATGGTAGCTCATAACTATCTATAACTCCCTCTCCAAGAGCTCCTTTGCCCTCTTCAGGACACTTCAGGAATTGCATGCATGTAGTACACAGACATACGGGTAAAATACCCATATAATATATATAAAAAAAAAAATACAAATTTTCTTTAAATAAAAATTTGCTGTTGGGGCTGCAGAGATGGCTCAGTGGTTAAGAAGACTGGCTCCAGAGATTGTGAGTTCAATTCCCAGCAACCACATGAAGGCTCACAACCATCTCTAAAGGGATCTGATGCCCTCTTCTGCCATGCAGATGTACATACAGATAGAGCACTCATAGACAATAAATAAATAAATAAATAAATAAATATTTTTTGTATCTTAGCAATGTCAGCAAACATTGCTGACAAAAATTTTTAAAAAAAAATTTATTTCTGTATTAAATTGAGAACCTCACATTTGGCTTCCAAGAAGCCTTTTGTAGCTTCTCTTGTCACATCCAGATTGCCAACGTCACTGGTTTTGTACTTTGGGGCCATTATTAAGTAAACTGAGCTTTGGCCACAGTCCACCTGAAAATTCACATGGCTAAGTGATTGATAGAAGGGTAGTGTGAAAAAAAAAAAAAAAAAAGAAGGGTAGTGTGTACACAGTGTCTGCTTTGGGAAAGGGTGATTTATGTTATTAGCAGGATTATTAGAGTTCACCACAGTGTTCAGAACAGTACACAGCCTAAAACTTACAAATTCCTCATTTCTGGAATCTTCCATGCAGCATTTCAGGAAGTCTTCCTCTTCTCTCACCTCCCTGTGCTTTCTCCCTGCAGGTGTCCTACGTGAAAGCTATTGACATTTGGATGGCTGTTTGCCTGCTCTTCGTGTTCTCGGCCCTGCTGGAATATGCCGCCGTCAACTTTGTGTCCCGGCAACACAAGGAACTGCTTCGATTTAGGAGGAAGCGGCGACATCACAAGGTAGGCCTTTGGGGAGTGGCCTAGGGAGGGGCTGGTGGTGGACAGCAGAAGTTGGTGACTTGTGCTTCACCGGGCTGTCTCCATGGGTAACACAGCTGAAAGCAGGACTGAATCCTCCAAAGCTTCACTTTTACCCTATGAATAATGACCTAGTTGGGTTACATGGGCCCTATCAAAAACCACAGCAGCGATGCCTTAGGGGTTGTCATGTAACACCAAGAAACAAATGTCCATGATGATAATCAGCTTCATCTCGTAGACACAGTAGGCTGGGGCAGGTCTACAGACTGTTTTCTGCAAAGCTGGCCCAGCTCTGGGTTCAGTCTCTTCATCACCTACCAAAAAGACTGGCTTGGTGAGCGACTGTCACTAAAGACAGAGATTCCAAGGAAGCTTTCAGTTTTGTTCCTGCCACACCTGTGTCAAGGATGAAATCTGTTGCACACACACAGTTCCCCATTAGTATGTTATTTAAACATTCAAACCCTGATTCAGATAACTCTTGGCAATCTACCACTGGCCCATCTTCTGAGTCAGAAGATGCCCTTGGGGGCTCCCAACAACAAGGTCCTTCTATGTCTGCACTGGCAAAGGTTTTGCAGACTAGACAGAACCTTTTAGAAGGTTTAGCCCTTCCTATTGCCCTTTAGACACCAAGGCCCTCCTTTGAAGTACTAATCATCTGTAGGCATTGTACATGCTTGCAATCCCAACATCCGAGGGTGGTGAGCAGAAGCAGGGGGATGAAGAGTTCAAGGTCAGCCTGGGCTATAGCCCAAGATCATGTCTCAAAACAAAAAGAAAAAAACAAAATAAAAGAAACCCTGGGGAAGTAGCTCTGTTGGTAGAGCTCCCTCTTGAAGTCCCTGGTTCTATGCCTAACACTGCACAAATCCAGACATGAGCACACATCTAACATCCCAGTACTTGGAGGTAGAGGTTGGAGAATCAGAAGTTTGAAGTCATCCTCTACTATATCAAGTTCAAGGGAAATTTGAGCTACATAAGACCTATTCTTTTAAAAAAAATCTAGAATAAAATAAGTACAATGATTTCCATTGTAATCCAAGCCCTCTGACACCTGAGGCAGAAGGATCAAAATTTCAAGGTTAAAAGCTAAGAAGACCCTCTATTCTTCTATTATTTGAAGACCCCTAGGTAGCTATAGGGAAGCCATCACCCAGGCTGGTTGAAGACTTTCCAGTGTGGTGGCTTTGGAGTCCCCCATGCTCCTGTGAGTAACCCCTCATCCAGCTCTATAAGTAGGCCCAACAAAATTATTGTTGTGGGGAGCTGAGGGTGGGAAGGGATTTCAAAGCTAACTTTGACTATGGAAGGAAAAAAGGAAGGAAGGAAGGAAGGAAGGAAGGAAGGAAGGAAGGAAGGAA